TGGACGTGGCTTGGTGGTCATGTTATTGGCTGGGCGTGGCCAACTCAATATCACTCACATCGAGGCACGCATCTCCTCGCCTGGCCTCTCATGATGGTGGGGATGCTGCAACAGTCGTAAGTGTGAAAAAACGGTCATAAGACACTTTTTTCAGTGCCATTGTAACTTTAAACGGTCACTCCACACAAGCAAAGTACCAGCAAAGGAGGGGAAAAAACTCCAGAGACGTTCTTGAGACAGGAAGTCTAGTCCTGCCAAGAATGTAATAAGGGTTAACGGAGAGGCCGTTTCTGTAAGCAACACCAGAATGTTTCCTTCCTGCCTTCCTTACAGGATTAGGCCAGTAATTTCTTCTAACAACCGGTTCTCCAAACTCCTTAGAATGTTAACAACCGGTTCTAGAGAATAGGTGAGAACTGGTAGAATCCCAGCCCTGCGTCCAACTGTATCATTCTGTTATTCTTATAATTGTAAAGATTCTTCTTACAATAATCTTCCCACCCAGAAGTGGTATTCAGCAGGTTCTGACCAGTTCTGGAGAACTGGTAGCGGAAATTTTGAGCAGTTCAGAGAACTGGCAAATACCACCTCTGACTTGTCCCGCCCCCATCTCTTCTCTGCCTCCCGAGTCCCAGCTGATTGGCTGGGTCTTCTTTTGTTGTCCTGCACAGGAGAACGGAGCTGGAAAGCAGGTTAGTGGGGGTGGAGAGGGAATGGGATTTTGCAGTAACCTTCCCCTGCCACACCCACCAGGCCATGCCATGCCCGCCATGCCCGCCACGCTACACCCACAGAACTGGTAGTAAAAATTTTTGAATCCCACGACTGTTCCCACCTTTATTTCTTATATGATTTTCATCCATAAGGATAAGTTAGTAATGTTTTAAATCAATTAAGAACAAGATTGGAAAGCCTCAACAACCTGATGGGGCACAGGTCATCCTCAACTTAAAACAGTTCATTTAGTGACCATTTTCAAAGTTACAACGGCACTGGCAAAAGTTACTTATGACAAGGTTTCCTATTTACAGCTGTTGCAGCATCCCCATAGTCACGTGATCAAAATTCAGATCCTTAGCAATGGACTCACATTTATGACGGTTCCCCAGTGCCCCGGGGTCATATGATTCCCTTTTGCGACTTTCTGACCAACAAAGTCAATGGAGAAGCTTGATTTACTTAACAACCATGTTAGTAACTGAACTGCAGTGATTCATTTAACAACGGTGTCAAAAAAGGGCGCAAAATAAGGCAAAACTCACTTAATAATTAGCGATAGAAATTTTGGGCTCAGTTGTGGTTGTTAAGTCAAAGACTTATCAGTATAACATTTCTACATGAATTAGGAAAAAAAAAATCCAAACACAGTCACTGAAATCTGCCTATTGTTGTTATCAGTCTGCCATCTGGTGGCCAACTTGATAACTGTGACTGTTTCTATGTAGCCATCATGAACATTCAACAACCAACATGCTTAATAGGCCTTAAATATCAGTTTGTATAAATTCATTCGCCTACTTACTTACTTAAAAATATTTGCCTGTCAGTTGTACGATTTCAGATTTCATAATCTAAAAACAAAACTATTAAAATAATACAAAAACCAAAACTGTTAAAATAGCTGTCTCGAATTAATCTTCAGATATTTTAGAGTTCAAGTCTCATCACAGTTAGTCTTCAAGGCCAATGTTCTTTTTACCTAAAAATACAAAACAAAAAACAAAAAACAACCCACTATTTGATTTTTGCGAGGGTCGTGGTCTCCCAGGCTCAGAGGTCCCTGTATGAAGTATATTATCTCAACCTTTTGCAGTCAGGATTCAGGCGAGGCTTATTGTATTAAGACAACATTGTTCATACTTGCGGATGACCTTTGGAGGGCTCAGGATGGGAGTGGTCAGTCCCTTCTGAATTCTCGGCAGCTTTCAATACCATCAACCATGCTATCTTGCTGCATCAGCTCTGGAGATTGGGAATACAAGGCACTGGAGGGAGAGAGACCAGCTGCAAGTCAACCATCGCAAGATAGAGGGGTTGTGGGCAGAGGGGGTATTCAGCAGGTTCTGACCAGTTCTGGAGAACCGGTAGCAGAAATTTTGAGTAGTTTGGAGAACCGGAAAATACCACCTCTGACTTGTCCCGACCCCATCTCTTCTCTGCCTCCCGAGTCCCAGCTGATTGGCTGGGTCTTCTTTTGTTACCCTGCACAGGAGAACAGAGCTGGAAAGCAGGTTAGTGGGGTGGGGAGGGAAAGGGGATTTTGCAGTATCCTTCCCCTGGAGTAGGGTTGGAATGAAGATTTTGCAGTATCCTTCCCCTGCCACGCCCACCAAGCCACACCCACAGAACTGGTAGTAAATTTTTTTGAATCCCACCACTGGTTGTCGGCCTTGCCCTCCTTCCCCAAGTCAGGATAGGTGACATCTCTGACTCTGTTTGGGGTAACGCTAACACACACCCCTGGGCAGAACCGTGTCATTTGGGGGTTGTCTTGTGCTCATGGGCTCCTGCCAGAAGAGCAATTAGCAGCTGCAGCCAGGAATTGAATTGCACAAATTCATTTTAATGTGTTCATCGCATTTATTCCTGGATCGCATTGCTCATGGTTGCTCATGCCTTAGCCACTTTCCAACTGGGTTACTGCAGCGTGCTCTACTCTTGAAGACCATCCATAAGCTGCAACGGATCCATAATGCAGCAGCATGTGAAATTCGGGGTTGCCCCTCAGTCTGCCAGAGCTACACCAATGTTGCATGAGCTAAACTGGATCCCAGTTGCTTTCTGAATACCAGACTGGTGAATGTCTTTAAAGCTCTACATGGCACTGGGGCAGGTTATTTACAGCACTGCCTCTCTCCAAGGTATCTGTCCATCCAATTAGGTCAGATAAGGTGAGCTCAATCAAGGTCCCTTGCCTTAAATCAAAGATCTCCAAACTTGGCAACTTTAAGACTTGTGGACTTCAATTCCCAGAATTCTGGGAGTTGAAGTCCACAAGTCTTAAATTTGCCAAGTTTGGAGACCTCTGCTTAAATGCTGTCCCCTACTGGAACTTTTGAGGCTCACTTTCTTTACAGTTACTACGGTCTTTTGGAACAGCCTCTCACCTGAGATTTGAAGCCCCACCTCTATAGTCTGATGTCAGACCTGTCCAAATATTGAGATAAGAGTTGTGGTTGAGTCTAAAAATTAATAGTTTGGCTGGTCCAGCCTTTGGTAGGAAAGGTTTTCGTTTAATCCTATTTTTATTGGTTATTATGAGCTGCCTAAGATCACTGTATGAGATATTAGCACTTGTAAGTTGTTCAAATAAATTAAATAAATATTAAAATCAACAGCAGCTAACAGAGCAACTACAACAAATGCCACAAGGGAATAATCTTCTGAAAAGATTTGCGTAAGAGGAAGTATGGAAATAACTTCTAAGAGACTTTGAGACAATTAAAGTTGTAATGAGGCACATCTGATTGTGTCTGATTGCCTTCCCAATGGGCTGCAGAAGATGCTGTCCTATACAGTTAGTCCTCGATTTACAACAGTTCATTTTGTGACTCTTCAAAGTTACCATGACCCTGAAAAAAAATGATTTATGACCGTTTTTCACTGGTATAACCGATGCGACATCCCCATATTCACATGATCAAAATTCAGACATTTGGCAATTGACTCATATTTATGACAGTTGTAGTGTGCCAAGGTCATGTGATCTCCTTTTGCCACCAGCAAAATCAACGTGGAAGCCAGATTCACTAAACAACCAGATTACTAACTTAACAATTCAAGGATTCACTGAACAACTGCAGTGAGAAAAATAGTAAAATGGGACAAAACCCACTGTCTCACCTAGCAGCATACATTTTGGGATCAATTGTGGTGGTAAGTCAAGGACTACTTATATCAGAGGTCTCCAAACTTGGCAACTTTAAGACTTGTGGACTTCAACTCTCAGAATTCTCCAGCCATTCTCCCAGAGAATTCTGGGAGCTGAAGTCCACAAGTCTTAAAGTTGCCAAGTTTGGAGACCTCTGACTTATATTCTTATTTTCAGGGACCTACAATTCACTGGGTGTGTGTGTGCAGGAACCAGGACATGAAAAGAAAGCCTGCCCCATGGAACTCACTAAAAATGTTACAACGCACACAGCACCGGATTCAATGAGCTGATATATGCCCACACAACATGGCAAAACAATTATTGACTTATTGAGTAAGTTTTAGGTGTGCCTATTGTTCTGGCATTTGGAGGTGGTTAGCATTTGGTAGAGCAGCCAAAAAAACAAACACCAAACTCTGTTTTTTTACAATATAAAATTATTCATAAGAAAAAAAAAGGGAAGGATCAGAAGAAACATACTGTACTGTTCCGTTTGTATTACCTTTCGCTAGTGTCATATTTCACTGTGTGTGTGTTTTAAGAGATCCGGCAGTTAAAAGATATTTGGTGGCAAACTGATTTATTTATTTATTTTTATTTATTTGATTTGTCAATCGCTTACAAGATAATATGTAAAAAGTATAAACATGAGTCAGAATACAGGAAATAGGTACGAATAAATGGGGACAATAGGACACGGACGGTAGGCACGATGGTGCACTTATGCACGCCCCTTACAGACCTCGTAGGAATGGGGTGAGGTCAATAGTGGTTAGTTTGAGGTTAAAGGAGTGGAGGGGTTAGAGGATGTAACAACAGAGTCAAGTAGCGCATTCCAGGAATTGACCACTCTGTTGCTGTCCGGGGAGACACTTTTAGTTGCCTCCACCGCCCTTTTCCACACATGAGCCTAGTGGTTCGTTGTTGAACGTAGCCGATTAGGACAGAGTCCCCGGACAGCCAGGGAAAAAACACGCGCGAGCAAGACTTGTAACCCACGCGTGCCTAGTTTCCCCACCGCAGGTTACGCCGACCGAAATCTCAGCTGTGTGAAGCGTCTTTTGGAAACGAGGCGGGGCCTGCCTCGGTTCCTTCTCCTCCTTTTCCGGGAATGCTCCTACTGCAGTAAACTGGGCTGGGTTGAGGGGAGTGGCTGTCTCCGGCGGATCAGCTGAGCGCTCGGGCGAGCCGACTCCGGAACCCGGAGAGTTAGCTCCCGTCTTCGTCCACCCTCACCCCATATACCCCGGGACGCGCCGAGAGGCCAAATCTTTGGGGGTAAGAAGCGGAGTAGTGCATCCGGATTGATTGGTGGTGATGGTGGTGGGGAGGGGGATCCTGCTTCTGGCTGCCCCTGATCCCTGTGTGCGTGGCATAGCTCAGGCGCAGCCCCGGCGCAGAGCTACTGCAATCCTGAGGGAAGGATTGGGGGACCAGAAGAAACGGGGGCGGAGAGGGTCTCTTTGGTGGAGTGGGGGGAGCAAGATAGGCGAAGACTCGCTGGGCCCAGTTTCCCAGCTGAATTCTGAGGCTGCTGCGCTGGCCGGTAGTTCCGCATTCCCCCCCCCCCCCACTCCCCTTACATTGGGGGAGCCGGAGGTTAATCTGCGCCTGCAGCCCTCCTCCTGCCTCAAGTAGCCCCCCCCCCGCGCTTCACCGATCCTGCCCCGCGCTGCTCCTTGGATACGTTTGCTCCTGCGCTTTCCCTTGGAGGGGTTATCCTACAAGCGGGCGAAGGCTCTGCCCGGCCTCCCCTGCTTTTCCTGCCCTTGGTTTCCTGATGCTGTGGGATTTCGCCTCCCTTTCCTGCTGAGCAGGAGAGCTAGCTCTGCGCTGTCGGGTGTTTTTTTTTTTTTTTTGCAGCATCCCTGGGAGCCGAGGAGCGAAGAGATTAATTGCGGGGTGCCTTGTGCCTGAGGATTGTGGAGGGAGGAGGGCCATGGGGTTGACAGCCCAGGCAGGAGAAAATAGCCCCTTCCTTTCTGGCTTTTGGTCAGCGCCTCTGGGTGGAGCAGTCATGTGAGAGTGATAATGTAGGAAAACCGCGATCCTTTATGGGTTAAAAGCCTTCAGGGGGAAGGGAAAAGAAGGATTAAGCCTGCGCGTAAACATATATTGGTATTTTATACGGGAGTCTTTTGAGTTCTTGTAGGTTGACCCTGCCGCTAAAGTCTCCCTTGTAGAAGTTTGCTATGGTTGGTATGAAGGGGCCAAAGACATGGAGAAAATCTAGCTAAATGTATGTGATCCCCTGGAGTGGGGAACACTGTTGATGGCACATAACCAGTCATGAAGCACTCCACCTTAATTTTAAGTGAATCAGTTCAATATAGCTACCCGTCATACATAGGTAGGGCTTTTGGTTTGTTTAACCATGGTTAATTAAAATTGCAGTTGCCTGGGTTCAGAAACCACCCCATCGCTTAGCAAAGGGGTCCTCATAAGACTTGTGGACTTCCACAAGTCCACAAGTCTTAAAGTTGCTAAGTTTGGACACCTCTGGCTTAGCATTATTAAATGAACTTTGTTTAAGAAAAGCTTGGTGTGGGTTGGAAAGAGGAAGGAGATGCAACTGGAGGATGTTGACAGAAATGAGATCGGTATCTCTTACCCTCCCTGCCATTGTTTTTCACATTGATAAGAATTTGTTACTAAGTCAGATAACAGATTCAGATTTCCTTAAAGAGGCAAGACTACTAGTAGGAAACAGAACAATTCTCTTTTAAATTGTATAGGTAGGTAGGTAGGTAGGTATCTTTTCTGAATGTAGCGTATTCACTGGTATTCTTGTATTGTAACTTTGCTCTTTCCAGGGAATGCTGTTAATCAGACCATTTGGTTCTTCCTTAGTTAGTTTACTTTATTGTCATTGCACCTTGGTACAACAAAACCAAACACCATCTTCAGTGCACATCATGACCATGACCATGAAAATAAACACAAACATTCATCCTTCATCCTTCACACATTGAACCGGAAACCCACACACACACACCACACCAACACTGCACTATACAGCAGAATTCAAAAGAGCTACTGCCCTGGGATAGAACCTGTTTTTCAGCCTATTTGTCTTTGTTTTTATTATTCTGTACCTTCTGCCAGATGGTAATAGTTCAAAAACAGGGTTCCCAGGATGAGATGGATCTTTGAGAATGTTTTGAACTTTCTTAAGGCAGCAGGAGCTATAAAGCTCTTCCAAAGAGGGAAGAGGGCAACCAATGATCTTCTGGGCAATGACATTAACCCTCTGGAGTGCTTTCCTATCTGCCCCTGTGCAATTGGCAAACCATACAGTGGTGCAGTATGTTAAAATGCTCTCTATGGTGCAGCGGTAGATGGTCACCAGCAGTTTCTCATTCAGTTGATGTTTTCTGAGAAGTCTCAGGTAGTATAATTAGAATTAATTGTTTCCAGTCTAGACTACAAAGAGTGAAATATGACAACCTCATTCTGCCTCTTCTAACACGATCCAAAACAGTGGGATTGGGAAAGTCAAGGTGAAGAAAGTTAGAATGTGAGGGAAGAGGCTGCTGGATGAAAGAGTTCTTGTGGGGTGGGAACTAGTTCACTTATTAAGTTCACAATTATTTAAAATTAATAATTGGGTTTGTTTGACACCTTGGAACACCAATGTTTGAACCCAACTGTATTTGTGAGATGCAAGCCCAGCGCTATTATAAATTTATAATTAAGCATGTAACCCGTGATTAACTTAACCCTTGTTGTGTTTTGGGGGGGAAATGCTGTGGTGTTGGAAGCCTTATATTGTTTTAAGAGGCGATTAAGCAAAATCATGTTAGAAGGTTGTCAATAGCTCCTAAACTAGCTTGACAAAGCTTAATAAATAGTAAAATAGTAGTAATGGGTGCATCTTAGGTCTAGGATCAGAAGCAATAAGTTTCTCAATGCTAATTGCTGGGAGGGTTGAACTGCATCCTCCCTGTGTGGGAATTCAATGCTGGATTGACCAGAGGGTTGCTTCTAGTTTCCTAAGTGGAAAAACAGGTTAGAAAAGATGCAAATAATCATCTTTTGGTCATATGGTTTTCCACTCTTTTGATCTGTAGTCTTTTGAGAGCTTTTGATTTTTTAAAATCTGAATGGAAGAGAAATTTCAGTTCATTTTTGCTTTTTGAGATGCTTTTTGAAAATTTAAGAGATGTTTGCAAAGTATTTAGGTAAGTACTTAAGTATTGGTAAGATGAAGGCTTAGTCAGTTTGGCATCTTAAGTAGTTATTTGTATAAACTCCTCCGTTGAAAATTTGTACATTGCTGTTTATACATTTTCTCATCAATAGTATAACTAACAAAAGTTTTTTTAGGTTGACAGCAGTTCTAATTTGAGTGCCATTGAATAATATTTAGGACACCAAGGAATTGTATGTGAATTTCTGCTGATTGTGCAATCAGTCTTGCAGTTTGAAACAATGGCTGTTTTCCTTAAATATTAAATTATAATATGGTTAGTTTGATTTTGGCTTGGTGTGAATCCGCCCATACTCGTTTATAATGCATGATTTATAGAGTCATGCGTTATGGGCAAACGCGCCAACTGGAATTTATTTAGCAAAGTGCAGATAAATGAATAGCGGCATTACATTATGTATGAAGTCAGCCAAGGAGTAGCATCTACATTTGACTTTGGTTGAGGCCCACAAATGTAGATGTCTTCCTCTTGGAGGACCACTGAAGAGGGTTGATGATATCCAGAGCATTATAGAAAATGTAAGTGCTACAGGGATATTGGCAGAGATGTCACATTAATCTTCAAAGGGAAACTTCTGTAAGATCTCAACTCCCCACATTAATGGAAGCTGCCTTTCCATTCTCAGCAAGACAACAGTCCAGTGTATTTGCCATTGAGATGAACTTCAATTTTATAGCCCTCTTCAAATTCAGAAAAGGCTGATGTCTGAATATTAAAACACAAATCTGTGGCTTTAAAATTTCCCAATATATTTGTAAGATAGTCCATCAGCAAAATATCAGTGGAAAGGCTTGTCTCCAGAAGTTGTGGGTACTATGGAGTTTTTAAGAAGAGTTTGGATACCCATTTGTCTGGAATAGTATAAAGTCTCCTGCTTGACCAAGGACTAGAAGATATCCAAGATCCTTTCCAACTCTGGTATTCTTAGTTAAAATATTTTAGTTGCTTTCTTTTTTTCTAAAACAAAATCAGAACCTAATCCCAGCTTTAGGATAGCTAACTGTGCTAACAACGTATTGCTGATGCTTCTGGTTGTTGTGTAATCATGATTTAGTTAAAGAGTTCTTTGTAATAATTAAGCTGAACTGAATATGTATTTTTAAAGTGCGCTTGTTTCACTCAAGTAATTTGCTGAATTGCTCCAGTGATCTTATTAGACTTTTCCTGAGAATTTTGGAATGTTACATATTGAACAGACCAGTCAGTTCTATAACCCATTGGAAACACAATTTTATGGATTTAATACCTCTCCCTACCTTTATCCCAGATTTCATTTCTTAGATTGGCTTTGTCTTCATTCTGAGAAAATTACTAATCAGATTTGAAAAGATATCATGCTGAAAACCACCAGGCTGCAAGTGTACATGGGACACCTGTAAAACCTTAAAATGTAGATATGGGTTGCTTACAAAATGGCTGTGCAACTTGTTTTAGGTATGCAAAGACTGGATTTATGTCTGACAATCAGAAGTATGCTGTTACTGTCCCCCTACACAGCAGGAAATATAGCAAGAGTAAATGCAAAAGGTTTGGGGTTTTAGCTGGTTAAATGTGTCTGGGAAGATATCTGGCGGAATTATGATGTTATCAAGAACCACACAGCTGATGATCAAAGATCAAAGAATTATACAGACCTTACTAAGGAAACCTTATGCTAATTTTGGGATAAATGCAAAAACTTGGAAACCGCGGAAGGAATTTATAAGTTTCATTATATTGAGTCAGAAACTTTTTGGATTATTTTGGATGAAGTGCTTTGTCCCAGATTTCTTGGTCTCTCTGCTGAATAGTGATTTATAAGATGAATTGCCAACAGAGTTGCTTAGATGGGGACTGGCCTGCCCACAATCTTTCATAGAGTGAAAGGCAGAGAGCAACAGTTGGGAAATATGGCATTAGGCGATGTTTCAATATGAGAAAGTTTACTCCACGTTTATTGAACTAGAGAAAGCACATAATAAAGTGAATAACCGGATTTTGGAAAGTTTTAGATGGAACTGGAGTGAGTTGCTAAATTCAAAACAAGACTATATGAGAGAAAAACAAGTGAAAATAAATGTAGAAGTTGAATATGGTTCAACAGTCAACAGGAAGGATAGGGCGTCATGGTTGTTTAATATATTTATGAATAAAGTATAAAGGATGTAGTGATTTTAGAAGGGGACTGGGTGTGCATGCGAGTGTGTGATGTTCATGGTTATAATTGCTGTCATATTGTTGACTAGATCCTGAATAATTTGCAACATAGAGTAGCTTGCATGATGCCAAGAAGCATATAGATCTGAGAATTAATGTACCAAGAAGGCAAGGTAATTGGGTATGACAGGGAAAACTGGATAGTTCTTAGCTATGCATACTGTAGGTGGCAAAATAACTAGAGCAGGCACATGCATTTTGTACATTGGTGGAATGTTTTCTAAATAGGAGAAAAAGGCTAGAGAAATTGTAAGACATACAAATTTTGGTAGAAAGGGACAGGGTAGAATGTGATCCATCATAGAGGAAATCTATATGTTTACTAAGAATGGAAACTGACTTAATGGCATAAAATCAAATGTGTGATCCCTGGTGAGGAATGAATGTGAAAATAAATCAAAATCAGTCAATCAGTCAATTGGAATAGAGCTGGAAGGGACCTTGGAGGTCTTCTATCCTACCCCCTGCTCAAGCAGGAGACCCTATAACCGTGATGGTGAACCTATGGCCAGCATGACAGAGGTGGCACGCAGAGCCCTCTCTGTGGGCATGTACTCCGTCACCAGGTGCTCTTCTGGTTTTTGACTGCTAACATGCATGCTGGCCAGGTGGTCTTCATGGGTGCCAGAGTGCCAGAAAATGGCCCGAGAAACAGCCAAAAAACCAGACTGTTTTTCAGGCCATTTTGGTCCTCACTGTTAGAAAGTTTCTCCTCCATTCCAGGTTGCTTCTCTCCTTCATTAGTTTCCATCCCTTGTTTCTTGTCTTGCCTTCTGGTGCTTTGGAAAATAATTTGATCCCTTCTTCTTTGTGGCAGCTCCTCAAATACTGGAATGCTACTATCATGTCCCCCCTTGTCCTTCTTTTCTCTAGACTAGCCAAACCCAAATCATGCAATTGTTCTTCATAAGTTTTAGTCTCGAGGCCTTTAATCATCTTAGTCAGGTATAAGAGCATACTTTGTGCCTCTTTTGTTTAAATGAAAGGAGCAATGGAGCATGTTTGGAGAAACATAAAGGTAAATAAAGGCGTGCACTTAAGACTTGAGTGGTAAAACCAGAAGTAGATCAAGAATGAATGGGAGCTAAGTGAATGTGGATCAATACAAAAGTGAGTGACCAGTGTAGAAGAAGTGGTTTGTTCAAGAAAACTGACTTTAACTCTCGTAACAAATAATTGGAAAAAGTACCTAGTTGTTGGAGGGGAGAGGAAGACAGGGAAAACTGGAATTTTTGAGTTCTTGAAAATTATAGAGATGGAAAGTCCAAAGATGGAAAGAAAAAAAACTATTGTATTGAAATGATGAATGGATATAGTGGAAACAAAGGTGATCTGTAAAGATATAAAGGTATAAAGAGGCACAGTGAAGGATATTTGTAATATACCATATTTTTGTTATTTGTATATTTTTATTTACCGTATTTCTCACACTATAAGACCCTCCGGACTATAAGACGCACATTAGCTTTAATGGAGGAAAACAAGAAAACAAAATCGGCCTCTGCCTCCCAGCATCCATCTGGTATTCATCTGGCTAGCGTCCTTGCAGCAAACAGCCTGGTCAGCTTCAGCACATTATCGCAGCCCCAACACATAACTTGTCAGGGCTCTGCTCCATTGCGCCCACTACCAGTCAACTGAGCTGAGCTGCTGCCGCTGCTGGAAAACACTGGAGCCTTCACTGCCAAGCAGCTGATTGGCGGTTGGATTGGCCTTCCGGAATACTGCCGATCAGCTGTTCTAGGTGGCAGGGATTGCTGCCGTTCACCGCCACCTATTTAAATTAAAGAATTTAATCAGCGGTGAACAGGCAGCAGCAATGGTGAACAGCGGTGAACGGGCGGCAATAGGCAGCGTTAGTGGTGATCCCCGCCACCTACAACAGCTGATCGGTGGTATTCCAGGAGGCCAATCCAACTGCCAGTCAGCTGCTCAGCAGCGAAAGCTCCAGTGTTCCCCAGCAGAGGCAGCACACCAACCTCACTCCTCCCATCGCAAAAGTTTCCGTCCACTTTTGGAGGGAGAAGTGCGTCTTATAGTGCGAAAAATACGGTATTTTGCTTTTTATACCACAGTCCTTCATTTCAAATAACAGATAACCAGAGTTGGAAGGGACCTTGTAGGTCATCTAGTCCAACCCCCCACCCAAGCGGGAGACCCTACACTATTTCTGAGAAATGACAGTCCAATGTCTCCTTGAAAGTCTCAAGTGATGGTGCTCCCACAATTTCTTCACCTTTTTATATGTTGCTTATCCCAAAAGGGAATACGATGATAGGAATGGTGATTGTTCTAATCTAGAAAAAAAAAGTGTGTGTTTTTAAAGAAAATCTGCTGATTTTTCCAGATTAATACCTTACACAATAGGATGAAGGAAACCCTGACCCAATGAGTTCAGTAAGTCCCTGGGAAACTTCTTTTACCCCCCTAAGCCAATTCTGCAGAAATTGCTAAAGACTGAAAACAGAGAAAGAGGAAATATCACCATATGTAAAGATGACACTGTAGTAAAAGGAATTGAAAAAGAACTTAAAAATAGGGTTGAAAAGCTGCAGCTTGTATCTTTATTGTGGCTTCGGATACAATTGAAATTGGGTGGAAGGCTTCACAATGTTCTTACTCATCCATCTTATGCCTTCTTTATTTTTAAACATACATCTGACAGATAGGTTTTAGCAAAGCTTTTTACGTTCATAAAAGAGGTAAGTTTGCAGAGATAAACTTTCCTGAAATAGGCAAAAACAATTCTGTTCTCCTTGATCCTTCGTGATGTCTGAGCATTATATAATTCAGTGAACCGGGAAGATAACAGTTTGGGGAAGGTTGATGTAGAATTTCTTCTTAGTTCTAGGTTGGATCTCTGATAATTTCAATCTGTGTTAGATGTGTATTTGTTCAAGTGCATTTTTGTATAGAAATGTGTTGGTCTTCTCTACACAGACAGTTTTTCAGAGTTGTGTCTTCCTTCCCCATCTAGCTGTCCTTATTTATTAATGTGATTCCTTTGGGATTTGCTGGAAGTCTTAACTGCCTTCAATGTCTCATTCTCCTGAACTCTCTCCTTTTGCTTCCTTACTAAGCTTTCGTTCCTCCTCAGGGTTGCAAATGCCAACATGAAAGCAAATCTTTCAGAAGAAATGGGAAGCCTATGAAAAATAAACTATATGGAATATGAAAAGTAACTAAAATAAAATTTAACATTTCTTTAAAAATGTTACAGCTAGTAAAAGGAAAGCAAATTGTATACCAATTTTTTTTTTTACATGGGAGCCCAACAGTAATATTTGGTATTCTGGTTATACAGTATTTATATATTTGGGTATTTGTTACTGTCTGTGGGGGAGTCCCCACAGACAGGTCATGGTTGTCCCGAAGGTACGTTTTCAAAAGGCAACTGGACTTTTTTTTCCTGGAAGACATTTCACTTCTCATCCAAGAAGCTTCTTCTGTTCTGAAGAAGAAACTGAAGAAGCTTCTTGGATTAGAAGTGAAATCCAGGAAAAAACAAGAATGTTCAGTTGCCTTTTGAACAAGCATTTGAGAAATCTGTTACTGATTTCAAGAAGGATTGGATTATTCTGATTGGAGAAATGTAGGAGATTGATAGCTACACATTTTTACCTTAGGTGTTTATATTTTGGCTAATTTGAAAGTAGAGGATGTTCTATTTTAGAAGTTCATTATAGAAATATCCAGTAATGTGTATTTTTGGAATGATAACATGATGCACATATGGGTGATATGTTTTATTCAAATTAATAGATTATGATGTATAATGTTGCTGTTATTATTTGCATTTATATTTTTAGTTTTGTATCTTTCTATTGATAATCTAAAACAAGAGTTTATTTTATTATATAATAGTATTGATATTGAAGAGAGTTGGCATTTATTTCTTTTTTGTGTTATTTTTCATGTTTGTCTTTTTAATGTCAAATTTTAAACTTTCCCTGTTGTTCCTATCTGACAGCTTTTCTCTATTGTAATTTTGTATTTTATTTTTTTCAAAAGAAATTTTTAAAGAAGGATTTAGCTAATATGGATTCTATAGAACAGTTCTACATTGTGTATAACTCTTTAAACTTATTTTATTATGTAATGTTATTGATATTGAAGAGAGTGAGATGGAACCATTATTTTTTGTGTTATTCTTGTGTGTGTTTGTTTTTAATGTCAAATTTTAAACATTCCCTGTTGTTCCTATCTCTTATCTTTTCTCTTTTGTTGTAATTTTGTACTTTAATGTTTTTTTTTTCAAATTAAATTATTATTATTTTTTGAAAGGACTTCATTAATGTGGGTTTTACAGCACAGTTCCTCATTGTATATAAGTCCTTAAACTGTGTTTCTTTATTTTCAGGTGTTGTTGCTTAGTGGTCCCTGAACTCTATGACTTTAGTGGGGTTATAATACACCATGGCGTATAATGCAAACACTGCTGGGGATGCTAACCAGTTGGCCCAACATATAACGTCTAATATACAGAAAATCACACAATGCAGTAAGTTAACTACTCATATTAACAATTTTTTGACTGATGCAAATTTAGAAACTTCATTTTTAAAAGAGCTTTTAAATGTCCACAAGTAAATAGCATGCTGTCATTTTTGTAATTCTTTATTAGTTAGGCAGTGATATTTTGTGCCTATTGTGTGGTAAATGTTCGGTACTAGCTACTAATTAAACCTCTTGATAATCTTATCTAAAGTATATATTCTGAGTGGTGAAGAATTAAGAGTGAATTCACCTTGTGTAATGTTTTTAAGTGCTAAGAAAACACTGCAGAGGACAAAATAGGCCTGGAAAGATTCTTTTCCACGTAGAATCTGAATATATGCCATTCAATTGATTCGCTTTATTATCTGTTATTAAACCTTGGGGGTGGGGCGGGGAAGAAATTATAAGCAAAAATTAGTTTTGCTGTTTTAAATGATGATGAGGTGCTAATTTAAGAGAGGTATTCATATGTAAAAAATAGAAAAAACAATCCTGTTAAAATAGAAGTATTGCAAGAATGTTTATGCTTCATATTAATTGGTGAAATGAATGTGATAAAAGGTGTCAGTATGAGATTTTCACTTTTCATCCCCAAAAGCTAAAGAAAATTAGCTGTGCACAATGGATAGCTCAGTTCTGTTTGTTCAGTGCATTTGGCTTCATATGAATGTAGACCCAGAATTTTATAAGAAAAACAGAGAATGTATAATATATAATGTTATGGCTGTTGAGTTTCATGAGAATGCAAATTAGATTTCTACAGAAATTTGTTGGTGTTTTCCGATTCCTGTTGATTCAATTTGCTTTTGAGTACCATAATAGCCCAAGTGTTATTGTATTAGGATTGTGCCCAAAACGGTTTCAGTTGGTCTCTCCACCCAGTCTGAAGCAGACAGATCCAGGCAGAGGTATATTGCCATGAGTGATAATGGAGAAGAGGTAAGGCCACAAATGGCAGCATGTGGCAATTAGGTCAGGAGAAAAGAAAATGCTCTCCATTTTGGTTTGTCTAGGGTGTCAAACTTGATCGTATCATATGATATATCATGACCTTTTTGCCTTTGTGGAACCGGAATGGGCGTGGCTTGTGCGTGACGCATTGGGCCCATGGACTGCCAGTTTGACAGGCCTTGTCCAGACCAAGCACCATCTAAAATTGTCCAAACAATTGAACCACAAAGTTCATCTTCTGTTTTATACCCACCTCTATGTTATTACTACCGTGTTTCCCCAAAAATAAGACCCTGTCTTATATGGATTTTTTGCCACCAAAAAAGGCACCAGGTCTTATTTTGGGGGGATGTCATCCACTGACTAACCTCACTTGTGTGCATCATTCCCGACCTCCTTTTCACTGTCAGAGACCTTCAGAAACTTCTTCTGCGGGCGGCAAGGCTTTCCTGAAGGCCTCTGCAGCCGATAACTGAGCTCTGGATCAACCCGGAGCTTTGTTATCAGCTACAGAGGCCTTCAGGAAAGCCTTGCCAGCCTCGCAGGCTGCAGAAGAAATGGGCCGGCAAAGGAGGTGTCGGGGTGTGCGAGGCCTGGCTACAACTGTCCAAAGGTAAGTAGTAGAGCAGCTCCACCACCCCCTGTCCCCACCCTTGCTTTTTACCCGTGCACTCTGGATGGGCATGATCTTAATTAGGGCTTATTTTGGGGTAGGGAAACAGGGTATTATTACCCAACTCCAGTGGATTCTAGCATATAACAATACATCTAATTTACAACATGTGGATTCTCTTCCAGTATAAAAATACTCAACCGGATTTGATGATTGCTAAAACTAGTTTTTATGAGGACCTGGTAATTTTTAAGAAATGTGTTTTTCAGCATCATTGGGCACCAAATATAGCTTTGTGATTAAATGTAGTAAGGAGGTGGAGTCCCAGGAGGGAGGCAGTACATTCCAGAGAAGTAAAAGGCAACTCAGTCCTCAGGTGTCAAGTGAGAAAAAAGGATGAAGCCCCCTCCCTAGTAGTTCGCAGAGTATATTGCAGTTCCAAATAGTAGAATCCTCAGGCTGTCAAGACTTTGTCTATAGGAGTAAAAACCATGAAGAACTCAGCTTGGGAGAATCACCAATGTGTCGTTCTTGGTTTTGGACTTGTCAACTTAATGCTGATATATTTCTTTCTGTAAAATTTCAATTCAGCATTTGGATAACAAAGATCCCTTTTTGTGAGCTCTTAAATAAATCTATATATAATAAGAGTGACAATAGTTGTAACATTTTTTTACTTAGACATATTTCCTTTTTAAAAATGGAAGTCCTTACGTTACCAGCATAACACCCTTAGATTGGAAGAGGGATACATCTTGGAAAACTCCAAAATTTGCAGAAACATAAAGAAGTCTGATCACCTTAATCTTCAATAGGAGTAGGCAAACTCTCAGAGTTTTCTGATATACAGTTTTTGAAATGTCATGCTAAATGACTGATTTGCTTTGCTAAAGGCACTGCTTTGCTTCACACCATCCTTTTGAATAGACACAATTTCTAATGAAACAATGTTCCTATTTTAAAATCTATACAAGCCGGGTATTGGTTTTTTTAAAAAATCATTTGTGTTATGACATCCACCCCCCCCACACACACACACACCACACACAAATCCTTACTACTTGAATATCCTTGCTTCTTTTTCTGTTAAAGATTGGCATTCAACCATGTTGCTACCCTAGATTTTCAAAGCTGTGAATAATTTTAGTGAATGCTCATTAATTCCATTCTAAAATTATTGCAGGCTTATTATGCATATGAATAACAAGATGAACAATGATGCTTTCAAGAATAATAGTGAGAGCAAACCACGAGTGGATTGATCTGGATGGCATATTGATCAAAAACAATTGTTTTTTATTAGGAGATTAAGAATAGCTTGCTCCCAGGATTATACATTTGCTCTTCTTTCTCCCATATGGCCACAGAGATATTGGAAAGCCTTCAGTACAGGATAAAATTTATCACAGCTCATCAAGTCATTTGAAGCTAGATAGATGATAGTTTGGTTAGTTAGTGGATATAAGTAAACTTCAACCACAATTTATGAATCCGACTTGTGATCACTTACTATAATCAACCAGTTTAAAATTCAGTTGGCATGATAATTTGTGGTTAGCCCAAAACAGAATTGAACCTTTTGCTTTCTTTCTGACAAGTTTTCAGGAGAACATGAGGAAGTTCATGGGATTGTAAATCTTTTCAGAATTAATTCTGAAGCTGCTACAGAGAATTCTACAAACAGGAATGTCTCGCCTAGTAGAAGTGGAGCTTTGCATTCAGGCTAGGAACAGGGCTTCCTGAACCTACACAACTGATGCAACTAAGCAAACTATCATTTATCTAATGGAGCATTTTTAGAACGTCTCTTTCTCAACTTTAATGGCTTTCTCAAACTGCAAACATTTTTCTAAAACTGCACTTCTGAGTTATATCTCCCACGTGATGATAAGATCTGTCTACTCCATCTTTGATCACATGACCACAGGGATGCTGCAAAGGATATAAGTGTGAAACATGGTCATAAGTCACTTTTTTTGGTGCTGTTGTAACTTTGAACAGTCCCTAAATGTATTGTTGTAAGTCGAGGACTACCTGTATATATTTAAAAGGATTTGTTAAGCTTGATTTGCTCTACTTCCTCCTTTGCCTTCAATCACATTTTATTTAAATCAGCGTTGCCCCTTTCGTTTTTATACATGGACATGTAGATATTTACCAATGTGACTCATTCTTATTTCACATGTAAATGACATCCAAACTGCTTGGCAGGTTTGTTGTTTATGAGTGGTGAAATTGTGGACAAAAGACAAGATACACAAAGATCCTTTCCACTGAAAAAGCAATTTAGTTCTGACATTTTGAATTATAGCTTCCACTGATCAATCAGAATCAGAATAGAGCTGGAAGGGACCTTGGAGGTCTTCTAGTCCAGCCCCCTGATCAAGCAGGAGACCCTATACCATTTCAGACAAGTGACTGTCCAGTCTCTTCTTAAAAACCTTCAGTGATGAAACACCAACAGCGCCTGAAGGCAAGCTGTTCCACTGGTTAATTGTTCTCACTATTCGGAAGTTTCTTCTCGGTTCCATGTTGCTTCTCTCCTTGATTAGTTTCCATCCCTTGTTTCTTGTCCTGCCCTCTGGTGCTTTGGGAAATAAGTTTGACTCCTTCTTTTTTGTGGCAGCCTCTCTAATACTGGAATTCTGCTATCATATCTTCCCTAGTCCTTCTTTTTTCTAGACTAGCCAAACCCAAATCCTCCAACCATTCTTCATATGATTTAGCCTCCAGGCCTTTAATCATCTTAGTTGCTCTTCTTTGCACTTTTTCCAAAGTCTCAACATCTTTGGATTTGGATGGTTTCAACAAAATCATTCAGAAGCTCTAGTTCAAAATATCTACAACACATCAGTTTGCGCTAAAATCAATTGTCATTTATTTATTTAGGTTTATAAGGCAATCCATCTCATTGTCATGACTCTGGGTTGCAGCAAATATAAAATTGGAAATCAGGATAAAACTATAAACAGCTATTAAAATCCAACATGAACACAACTACTTCACAGGCTCTGCCATATATTCCATCATTGTGAGAGAGTTGGCAGTGATAAGCAGCTTTGATGGTTATTAGGAATGATAGTCCCCTAACAGTTGGGTTGGCTAAATATATATAAACCAGGATAGTCATTTAATACTGTTGTATCTTTAAGAGAATGCTGTAATTGTGATTGGCTGAGGTTCCTCCAACAGCCATAAGATGGAGCCAGAAACCTGGTTTGTTCTCTCCTTGCATTTCCTGTTTTACCGTATTGCCTCATCGTCATTCTGTTTGGATTGCTGTGAGTCTTGCAACTGTTAGCAAACTCCGTTTACTGAACTCTGTTTATGATACTTGACTTCGTTTTTGGATTATCCCTGGACTGATACTAACTGCTTTAACCGTGTATGATTTGGACTGTTTATTGGACTTTGTTTATCCATTTACTGGAAGTAAAACCTATATTTTACTATTCAGTATATCCATATGCTGGTCGTGTGTTATTCAACATCACTCTCACTATGTTTCCCTGAGTGCACTCATTCTCCTAACGGGGAGACTCAACAATTGTAATAATAAATGAAAGGTATTGTTACATGACAGTCGCTTTGAGAAATAAGACATGTAGTGTCTTAGTAATCTATTCATGGGACCAGCCGGCATCACCGATTATTAGGAATAGTGGAAGTTGCAACATCCAGGAGTTAAGACATCTGGAAGGCAACTGATTGTTCTGAGGAACATAGAATGACATCAGGTTAACATAAATCTGATAAATATTGATCAACTGGATCTCCTTAATTAAAAATATAATAGAGCAATGTTTGAATCTAGCCACAATAGTTCTGCCCCCCCCCCCCCACTATTCAACATTTGAATTCTTTCCTTTTTCAATTTCAGAACTCCAAATTGGGAAAGTCCTTGAGTAGGAATGACAGGAGGATAAACACAGGCAATTAGATTATGCTGTTGACACAATTTTGTATCTAACCTTACTACGGTGATTTATTAACTTCTGAATCATTCTAGATAGAACAAGATTCAGTTCAAGGGTCATGGAACACTCTCCATGGAATTGACACTAGGAATTTATCTTTAAAAGTCTACATGAATCAACAAAACTGCAAAACTATAGTTCATTTGTGTTTAAGATTAGAGCAAGATGGATGGAATAATTAATTCCCCTTAATTAAATAGTCATTCTGTGCATATAATACTTTCATCCTATGTAGCTGGCAAAGGAGTTGTGATAGATATTATATAATGGAAAGCATTTTACTTCTGGACATAAAAATGTTATAATTTTTTATAATTTTCAGTTAATACAGTCTGCTCTTAAACATTTCTTCTTTCCTGATGAAATTTGATAGCTGTGAAAAATTATTTTTATATATATATAATTTTTCACAGCTATCAAATTTCATCAGGAAAGAAGAAACCAGTAAAATTAAGGAGGCAAACCAGGCAGGAAACATGACCAGATGAGCTATTTTTGTAAAGCTATATTAATAGAATCATGCAAATGTACAACTTTCCTGCCATCTTTACAGCCTGAGCAACTAGGGAGAGTCCATTCTGAGCCTCTTGTTCTGCCCATTGTTCAAATCTGGGCTATATTCTCTCTTATCTGACCATTCCCTCGGCAGCATTTCTTTACCCCATCATTCAAGGTCTTTACCACATAACAGTACAGAATGCTACTTTACATAGTCCTATTCCCTGGGCTTTTTAGCTGTTGGTAGTAATGTGCTGTGCTAAAATATTCTTATTTCATAAAACAAAGATGAACATATTGATTAGGTTCGCATATCTTGATGAATCATAATGTGGTTCATTTAGCATTGACTGTAAATTTTAATTCCTGTGGTTTATACTTTAGTGTTATGCCAACCCTGACAATTATTAACTACATTAGTGCATTATGTGAATTTGGTCATTGCTCTTGATAATAACTTAAGTGGATCAGAAGACAGGAAACTTTATTTTATAAAATGTCAACTATATCACCATTTAAAACAATGACCAAATGTCTTTCAATTTAAATAACAGTTTATAGTTTAGAAATGTGTTATTTACTAGCTTAATGGGTGCTCTTCTGTGTAGTAGAGGAATAAAATGATGATGATCTTTAACGTGGAGTGTTCTGCGACCCTGGACATCACTGACATCTTTTAGAAGTAACATTATGAAACATTATTTTTCTCTTTATTTAGCCCAGTGCAGAACAAAGGAATAGTAATGATGCAAAGCTGTTTTATAAGTGATCAATGTCAAGCCATCATTCCTTAGAAGTTTTTTCAGTTTTATCTGTAGGGTGTAGTTTGAAAGTTTATGAAACTTCTCCGGAGCAGCAGTTTTCAGTTTGATTTTTAAGGACTTTCACCCTCATCGTTACATGCTGATCAATAATATTTTTGGTGCTTGAGTCTCATAAGGATGAGTAGCAGCCCTTCCTCTTCTTGCCAAATATTTTATCAGTATATGTGTCAAGCCATTTGAGTCCTACAAAGACGTGGTTTTAAACAATCAGCATAAATTATAATAAAGTTAAGCACTTCCACCATTCCACTTTTCTTTCTATATCCTTGATGTCCTTTTGAGGACAATTCTTGCACTAGGTGATGCCTTTATTTTATTTGTAAGCAAGAGTGGCATTCTCTAGCCATTGGCCATACTAGCTCGATATGATGGGGGGTTCAAGACATTTGAACTACATCAGACTGCCAACCCTGTTCTAATCCTGTACTTTTAATTTTTTTAACTTATAAAAACATAATTGACTTAATTGAGTGTTCTCCATTTTAGTGGCCCATCCAATACCTCAAATGCTAATGTTACACAATAGAAATCAGGGAGAGGAAGAGAGAGGTGTAAGATTATAGTTTATAATTTACTTTTGTAAGAAGCTAGCTTTCAGTCAACCTTAACTAGATTTACTCTAACTAATTAAGGCCACATTTTCAATCGGTTATAACATCTTCAAGTCAAGCTCTGTTCCTGGCACCCTTGTTTACTTGGCAACATTTGGGAAGTGGTTTGCTATCGCCATCTGAGTGCTCCAGCTTCACCTACACTGCTGATATCACCTGGAGATCTCCCATCCAAATGCTAATCAGGCTCTAACCTACTTAGATTTAGAGCCTAGACAAGCTCAGCTAGATGCTGGCATCTATTGGTTCACATCAACAGAGAGACTGCAAAACTAACAAATAGAATGTGTCCTTGTAACTTAGCCTAATCTTTATTTTTTTTTAATTGCTCTGAAATCATTTAATAGAAGTTTATATTTCTTGGGCGAATTTTGACATGGAATTAATTTCTAAAGCTGTAGAAAAATGGCCAGCAGGTGGCAGTCACTCATAAAAACATGTTAGTGGTCTGTATACCATTTCAGACCACATTTAATATGTGCAACCAATTAAGTAAATTAATAAATCAATTCAGTAAATCAATTCAGTAAAGGAATGCTTTACGAGTTGACATAAATGTAACTTCCTTCAAGATGGGTGAATTCTGAACGATAATCTTAAAAGCTAGTGTGTCAGCTTGTGCATTTCAAGCACTTTTAGTAAATCACTTTTATAAATTTTCAAGCCTTTAAAGCATTTTCTACAGATCATTTTTATATATTTTCTCTATCATGGTCTCTGGGAACTCTTTAAGAATTAGTTTTAAATATTCTGGAAGGAATGGATACATGTTTAGCAGACTTAAGCTTGTTCTTTGACTTTTTAAAATTTTCATCTCAAAGATGGATGGCAAATATATTTAATAGTTTAAAATTTAAAAATACTGTAAAACTGAAACTTTAAATTCATATTTACATGTGAACTAATAAAATCCTGATAAATTTGATTTTAACCACAGCACAAAATATGGTTAATATAGTTTCACAAACCTAGAATATTTTGAGCAGCATTTTCCACCCCCACCCATTGCAGATCAAATATTCTATGGCTTGGCACGATGATCCAATTCATACTAATTTTCCAGGATGTATGTTAACCATGTTGAATTCTTGAATACATTTATTCTGGTTCCCTCTTCCTTTAGTGTATCTGTCTAGTGTTCAAATTTAACACGTGTTTGGAGAGGACTACACCAATTTCAGGAATAAGTGAAATCTAAATTCAAAAGTAAAAAAAAGAGTGCTTGACAATTGATAGAGATGTCCTTTCAACTTAACCACTTTTTATATGTGTGATTACAAAATACAAAACTTTTCATTCTTTATTTCATGTAGTAATTGATGTATGTGGAAAGGGTTAATTCTAGCAAGTATATCCCATTATCTGTGTACATTTGGGTGAAGGTTTTAGATTTTTAAAAAATAGGATTCCTAGTCACAAGAATGGGTCATCTCCACATACAATCCTTCTTTCTTTTTGTTAAATTGTAAGTAATCTCCTTACATTTTAGGGGGTTAAGAACTAGATTCAACATCTTTATTTGACAGTATTTGTCACATCTGTAGTATTTTCATTGCCTGAAATAATACAAAAAGGAATAATCTGTACCTTGTTATGGATGTGGGCCCTTTGTCGGTCTGTTTTGATGTACATTTCTTGTTCTATTAACGTGAGATTATTGATATCAAGTAAAAATTTTCTTAAACATTTAGTATTTGTATAGCATCAGTTCTACTTAAAGCGCTGAGAGATTTTTAAAATGTGATTTGAAAGGGGTTCAGTTTTCACTGGTTCAGTTGCACCGTGATCTGTTTTATATAGTGTTGCATGTATATCACAATAGTTGTGTTGAATTGGATCTTCTCCAACCCTGTTAACTGGTACGCATTTCTGAATTTGCAATTAGGAATGCATGGCGTTGTGGTGGAGCTGTATCACTTACAAAATCTCTTCCACTTTCCCCCACCCCCATCCCCAAACAGCTGCAGAAATACAAAGAGTACTGAATCAACTTGGAACCCCACAAGACACACACGAACTGCGGCAAGAGCTGTAAGTGCTTCATGAGGTGACCTTTCATTGGGTTGCATTGTAAATGCAACTTCTCAGTAAACCCTGGGGTCTTATCAAAGTGCTCAGCATCTTGAAAACATTTGACAACAAAATGGAAGAGAGAGAGGGAGTGAACATTTATCTGTTTATTGACATGTTAATACATCAAGTATATTTTTGGCATTGCCAAACACTCAGATAGAAACAAAAAAATCCACTATTGAGCTAATAAAAGCCATCTAATTGATTCAGATAGTTTGAATTACATGTTTGCTATCTTCAACATTTATCATTGAATGTTATATTCAAACTGCAACAAACTCAGAATGAAGATTTTGTGAGCCTCTCTATGTATAAATGCTAAATTTATTTTGTGGAGCTTATGTCACCAATTTTGGTCAGTAACTATTCTTTTTATGAAGTGAAATCTGCTCTAGCACTATTAAGTTCTTTGTTCTTCATTTGCATTGAACTAAAGCCAGGAATTATTTTGGACACATTCAGTAATAAATATCTATTTCCCAAAGGTTTATCTTAAAGACAATAGTGATATAGTAATGTTTGTAAAATATACCCAGGAAGTCACCTGTAACTTTCTGTTCTAGGCAACAAAAGCAGCAATATACAAACCAACTTGCCAAAGAGACAGACAAATACATAAAAGAATTTGGATCTCTGCCTTCAATAAGTGAGCAGGTATAGAAATGTAGTGTTTGTATAAACATTTTGGTTTTTTTATAAAGTTGTTATTCTTTAAGTCTATGGTATGTGCTTGTAAGCATTGATTCCTGATCCAGTAAAACATACTAAAACAAATTGGTGTATTTGTCATAATGAAGAAGCTTGATATTTCTGAACTGGTTGGATTATAAACTGGCCTGCTGATTATAGTACTTGTAATAACACAGACTGTAAAAATGTGCAATTGTCATATTGATCTTATTGGGCCTAAAATATACCCAGAGCTGCAGTGAATATCTGGAGTTGGCATATAAAACACATTAAGCTGAATCTGGAGCAAATATTTTGTTGGTGTGTGTGTGTGTGTGTGTGTGTGTGTGTACAATATGCAATTTTGTGACTATCAATGTTACAAAAGAAAACAGTTGTAATATAGCAGTCTAATAATGACACTATAAAATATTTAGAACTATCTTCATATCATAGCCTGGAAACATAGACTAGGTTGCTATCTTGGTGAATGAAAAAGATCCAGAATAGGTCTGTTTTTAAAAGGTGCCTTTTTTGTGTGAATACTGCTTAGGATGTGCGTTAAACATGAGAGATATAAGGATAAAGATTAAAGAAACCCCAAATTCTGTGCACTTAGTCCAAATTTCTGAAACAGCATAGTTTCCATACCCGCTGACATCCATCTAAATTCCTGAATTTCAACTAGTGTGACGAATACGCTATATCTGGGGTACATCATTTTGAGAAAGGTATTTTTGCCACATTATGGAATTATAGAATTAACTCAGGAAGGAACTTTTTTCCTGGTAGATAGGAAGCACACAAAATGAAAAACATGTCTTGTTTAATGTTTTGGATAAAACACCCAAATTGAAATGTTCCATCTATTTCTTTTAATCAGTTATGTTCTGATGGGATAAATCTTGAAATTCTTTCAGAGATATCAATTAAATTTAGAATAAAGGCTGTGAAAGAAGGTGAAATGGCAGGCCATGCTGACTGCTATTAGACAATGTTGCTGAAACGTTGGTGAATATAATGCATTTTTAAAAATAGTTTGTAAAATATCAAAATAAATCCCCAGAAGAACCAGGGGAATGCAAGTCTGCTGTCACCTATTGAAAAAGCAGTTTGTTCAGATTAGAATCTTTTATTGGTAGAGCTGAAGGTTTTAATTTCAGCAAAGAAGTATTTTAAGTTCTTTAAATAATTCCTGAACTACTGGGGTGACATATTAGTACAGTAAATAGACAGTTAAGTTCCTCAGCCAGCATAGCTGGGTGAGGAATTCTGGGATTTGAAGTCCACAAGTCTTAAAGTTGCCAAGTTTGGAGACCTCTGTATTAGTAGGACAGAAGAGCTAACCTCTCAACCGGTTTTCACTTAGCAGTTCTTGTTGCCTTCAGACAAATAAACCAGGCAGATATGCACAAAATATACTTTTTTAAAAAAAGTTCCTGTGAGACGTTTCCTTAAAAGTTTTCATAAAAATGCAGCATCCTTTTATTTGTTTGTAATAGCCATGTTATCCTACTAAGATCAGATACCAAGTTTGGCAAGTCCCCTTCCCGAACGTTATTGTGATATTGTAAGTGAAGTTCTTGTTTGAGCATGTAAATCAGGGGTCCCCAAACTTGGCAACTTTAAGACTTGTGGACTTCAACTCCCAGAATTCTGGGAGTTGAAGTCCACAAGTCTTAAAGTTGCCAAGTTTGGAGACCTCTGATGTAAATGAATTGCTGGTGTGTGTGTGTGTGTGTGTGTGTGTGTGTGGTGTGATACTGTTTCTTAACTTCAAGAATAACCCACAAGAAAACACATCTCCTATGAGCTTTAACTACAGTTCATTATCTAAATACACAGTTAAGTTCCTTATAGCATAGAATCTTTTCAAAACAGCAATAATTTATTTGGCAGACACTCTTATATGAATAGTTTCATTTTCTCTTGGTATGTGTTCAACTCATTGCTTTCTTCTCCATATTCCCTTCCACCTCATCCTGGCCTTTCTAAATTAATAGCAGTAATTGCCAATTACTGCTTTGACTAGGCTGGGGGAAAGAATTTTTAACAAATCTTCACATTAAAAAAAAAAACTGAGATGGGACTAAAACCCTTGAAATGTGGATGTATTATTCTGAGACCAAAACAGGTGGCTGAAATGTTTTGCACATCCCTCTTGATAACTATTCTCTTGAGAGATGTTTATGTAAAAGACATACAGCATAACATTTGGTTTCATTTTGTTTGTGCTGTAAATAGCCTCTTGTGCTTTTGAGAAAAGAGAAGTTAGGTTATTCAAACTTTTTCATTTAAGTCCATCCAGCACACACGTGTTAGAAACAGATGTTCAGCTTATCAGTGAATTGTGTTTAATTAATTAATCGGTTGGTTAAAACAAATTTATACGGCCACCCAACTCACACATAGCTGACTCCAGGCAGCTTACAATATATAAAAATCCAGAACATAAAAACCTATAATAGCAACAGCACTTAGACTTATATACCATGTTATGTTGCTTTAGAGCCCTCTCTAAATGATTTTACGGAATCAGCATATTGCCACCAACATTCTGGACCTTCATTTTACTGATCCCAGAAGGATGGAAGGCTGAATTAACCTTGAGCCAGTCAGGCTCAAACTCCTGGCAGTGAGCAGAGTCATTCTGCAATTCTGCATTCTAACCATTGTGCCACCACAACTCCCTATAACCTTCACCCCCTTGGCAGCAGCAATACAATCAAATAATTGATTGCTCCTTCTCCATTCATGATTCCCAGGCCCTCTGACAAAACCATACTTTTGGATCTTTCAGAAAAGCAACAAGGTTGATGTTCCACAGAGAAGAGGCTACTGCTGAAAAGGTCCTTTTACATGGTCCCACTAAATGTACTTCCAAAATCAATGGGACTCTGTCTTCTTGTATATCTCTTGCATTCCTATTTATCTATCTACTAGATGTAGGTAAGATAGAAGGGCTCGAACCAAAGAAACCCAGGTTGAATTATCTACTTGTCAGTCCTCTTCTTGATCACTTTAGTTAGTTCTCTGTCCAAGTTACCTCTGGGTGCAGTGATTAGAAGCAATCTCCATGTGCATCATCTTGAACTTCTAAAGCATTGGTGTCAAACTCACAGTGTCGCATTGCTGTCATGTGATGTATCATGACTTTTTTCCCCCTTCTGGGAGCTTGGGTGGGCGTGGCATGCGCATGACGCATCCGATCAGTGGGCCACCAGTTTGACACTCCTGTTCTAAAAGAAAGGCAGAATATACATATGATTAATAAATATTCTAAGTAGTTTGGGATAGGAGTTACTAGAATATAGATACCTTTGGGTAAGTCACAATTACCCAAAATAGATGTCTGTTTGAACAGGTATGGCAGCCCTTAATAGCTGTCCCTATGTCCATTTAGATGTCTAAACGTTTATACTTATACTAAATAATTATACTATAATTATTAATATCCAGATATGCTATAATAATAGTTGACCTTGTCATAAATAATCATCATCTTCATTTAACTACCCCATAATCCCTTGCGGCAGGGGTCCCCAACCACCGGTCCACGGACCGGTACCGGTCCACGGAACAAATCCTACCGGGCCGCTGGTTCCGGGTAGAAAGCTCACCGGAAGCCCTTTTTCATCAAAACAAGATGGCGGCGCCCAGCCGATGCCGGTACCGGGCTGCGGCATAAAGAAGGTTGGGGACCACTGCCTTGCGGGATGGAGTCTGGGCAACTGAATGGAACTAGCAGAGTGTTTTAATGCCCGGATGCCCTTCCTGTTGCCAGTGAAGAGTTTTGTTCAGCAGATATATTCTCATTGTGCTCGGAGAGAGAAATATCTGCCTCTACCTAGGATCGAACTCATAGCCTCCTGTGAAGCGAGAGCTCCACCTCTAGGCCACCGCACCACTCTACCTTGCCATAAATAATGATGGTGAAGAAATTATTTTATTTGCATTTTAATGTGAAGTTCATCTCCACTTCTGTATTCCCTGAAATATAGTTATATCCACAATGTTCCCATTGTTCCACATTTTGCAATGCAGTCTTGAAAAAGAATGGAAGAAAAGTGTATGTGGGGAATGTGCATGAAAGTGAACACCTATTTTTCAGCGAACGTTAAAAAGAATTGCAAATAGATACAAAATATTAATGATTTGGAGTTTGTGCTGCTTGGCTGCTTTATGTTTTAACTTTTATAATGCTTGTAATTGTTTTTATTTGAATTTAATTTTGTTCACCACCAAGTTACTCATTGAGATGGGCAACCATCTACATTGGATAGTTGGATGAC